TTTCACTTACTCTACCCACTACAAGGTGGTGAGCCCTAAATAAAGTATAATAGAAAGCCAAAGTAGAAAGCTCGGATTTCTACCTGTTGGATTCCGAGGTGATTCACAAAGGAAGGGATGTACATTTTCCTGATTCTGCTTTTATTATTACTATTTCTTTATGTATAGTTCCTCCCTTTGCAACGTTGTCATGCTTCATCAATGTTGGTTTTCCCTGGATTTGCCCCAGAAGGGGTCTTGTGTAGAGCAGGCACCCAATCCATGTTTCCTGGCTGGTTGATGCAGGACCTTCCTCACCTGCCACCAGGCGCCCTCTCTCCTGCCTCACCCCATGCCACTCTCCCCTGGGCCCGGGTGCCGACCCTACTTGCCTTCCTCCAGTCTCTTCAGTTTTGTGAGTTACTTCTCGCAAGTGGAGTGATATGGGCGGGGGCGGGGGGGGGGCACTCCAGAAATCAAAGACCATCCCTGCCTGATTTAATCCTGTCTTTCCTTCGGCTTTGAGTTGCATCGTCTCTAATTCAGTGACCTTTCCCAACTCCCCACCGCACCTTCCAAAGTTCTAAATGAGGTTTTCTCTGAACCAGATTAAGTGCATTATGGGGCATTATGGGGCACCCGTTCAATAGGATACTAGATGGTCGTTTAAAAGAATAAGATCTATCAGTATATTGATAAGGAAAGAGAAAGCAAGTTGCAGAAGAGTACACGTATAAAGTGACCCCATTTGCAGGCATCCTCTAAAGGACATAAGTTGCTGCAGTATGCATCATTCTTTTCAGTAAATATATACGAGAAATTGTTCATAGCACCTCTAGGGAGACAGACTGGGGCTCATAGAAGAAGAGGAAGTTTTTCACTTTAAGCTTTTCTGTAGCATTTGAATTATGACCACATATGATATTTTACCTTTAAGAATATAAGACGATTAGTTGTTTCAGCCCTCTTGTTTTCCAGTGCTCCGTGAAGACAAGGACTGTGTTCTCTTTTCTGTTGTTCCTGGCACCCTGTACGTTGCACCTTCAGGTAGTAGACACTCCATCAGCACTCCTTGAATGAATGGGTGGGTGAATGAACGAACCAGCAAGCAAATGCAGTTTCTCCACCGTGTGGCTAACCGGGTGACACACAGGGCCGACAAGCAGGTTGAGCCGGCAGGAGAGATGGCTAACAGAAGAGGCAGGGAGCAAGCACAAAGAGCAAAGAAAAGCTGTGGAGCTGGAGGGGTCGGAGCTGGGAAAGAGAGAAGCACATGATGGCGAGCTGGTGGGGGGTGGGGCGGTGCCTGTGTGAGGAGGCACTGCCTGCCTACGGAGCAGCGATGGAGGAGGAGGGCGCCACTCCCGTGGCACTGGAGGCATCAGAACCCTCCTGCCCTGCTCCCCTTTCCTGAGACCGTTCAAGGTGCTCAGTCACCTCCAAGGGACCGGTTTGGTGAGCCGGGCGTGGCGGGGATGAGGCCCCAGGGCTCCGGCGCTCGTGCGCTCTTTCCTTCTGTTCCATGTGGCCTTGCTGTAGGGAAGTAGTGAGTGTGGGTGTAGGCTGAGGGAGAAACTTAGCTGACTTGTGGTGATTGGAATCAAGAGAAGTAGCCAGAACCGAGAATGATGAGTCTCAGGCAGAGTAACAGCTGTCCAGGCTCATCCCGCTGCAAAGCACAGGTGGGTGAGGATGAGCTCACGGGTTACCGTTGGACAGAGCTGGAAGCCTGGTACTGTCCGTTATTGATGAGCTCAGCTCATGAAGCTGCTTCCTCTTGCTGAGCCTCACTGTTCTTGCCTGCAAAATGGGCGAGAGTAAATGAAGAAATGGAGGTAGAGCCATCTGGTTTCTCTCCACGCTCAACACTATCTGTTAATTATGTACTGAGCACAGTGATGAGTATTTTATAAAGATGACTGCACTTAATACTTATAATGACCATATGAGGTGGGTGTAATTATGATCCCCGTTTTACAGATGAAGCAGCTGAGGCACAGAGAGGCGAAAGTTACACAACTGGTACCTGGGGAAGCCAGGATTGAAAGCCAGCCACCCTGCCTCCCAAGCCTGTGCCCTTAACCATGGCATGGGCGTCCTACCCATTTAATTAACCCACTCACTGTTTCTGTTCCTGTTCTTCTTCCTCTTAGTAGCACGGAACAAAATGAGAATAAAGTTCATGGAACTATTAAATTTTTTAAAATAGTGGTAGCTTTTCAACAGCACTAGAGCAGACCTCTGTATTCTTCTTACTGTCCGTTAAAATCACGTGCTTTCTATTTTATTTTATTTTATTATTATTTTTTTAATGGGAGCATAGTTGACAAACAGTGTTGCATTAGTAATATTCTGAGAGTTCAGTTTGACATCCTGAATCAGACTGGGTCCCCTGGTCCAGACTTGCAGTCCAAGGAGCCGTAACTGAGAAGTCCATGTAGGTAGTCTTGTGAAGAAGCAGATTTCTCAGGTCTGTTTTCTTTTTCTAGGTTTGTTCATTGTGTGTGTGTGTGTGTGTGTGTGTGTGTGTGGCAGGGGGAAGGTGGGAAGGAGAGAGAGGCAGGACAAAAATTTCCAAGAACAAGTTACGTATACATAAGCCCTTGTCTGTGGTAGGAAATCAGGAACTGTAAAATTGTGAAGTTCTTTGAAGTTTGCCCAAAACCTGCTCCTCGGCCACCTGTTCCGCAGGGGCCGGGAGTTGGACGGCCCCACTCTGCTGCGATGGCGCAAGCTGTCACTGCACCGGAATGTTCCAGCTCGCCTTGGCCTGGCTGTCATCTCTGGCTCTGTCCCACTCAGGCGGTTCACCGGGTTCTGTTGGGCACCAGGCTTCCAATTAGAGAGAAATCCCACTGTGTGGCCAGCCTCACCAGTGCCACTCTGAGAGGCCCCTTTGCCAAGGCCCGGGCTGACCTCTGATCTGTCACAGATGGGCCAGCCCCACACTCCTTTGTGCGCATTTGGAGGAGGGGGTGGGGCTGAAGAGGGAAGCCTGCGGGGAGTCCGAGTGGACAGTGGGCAGAAGTGCAGTTCCTCAGAACCGGGGGAAGCTGGGCAGAGTTGACAGGACCCAAATGCTAGCGCTGTGGAGGGAAAGGGGACTTTGGAAGACCCCGTCCTGAGCCCTAAACCCAGCATGGGGTCTCCTCTTACCACCTTCTGAATATTCATCTCAGGCTGGACTCCACACCCGAGGAGAGCCAGGAGCCAATAACCGGCCCCCTCCAAAACTGTCACAGTGCTGATAACTGGCCCCCTCCAAAACTGTCACAGTGCTGATGGCGCATGGCACAGCCAGCTTCCTCCCTGCCCGGCCGCAGGCTCTGCGCAGGCTCTGCACCGTCTCTGCAGCCTGGGAGCCCTGCTTGGCCTGGGCTCAGGGACGGTACTGTCAGCAGCTCTCACCATGGATGGTATTAATCACGCAGAGCCGGAGTGAACAAGAAAGCTAAATTCCTATTAGCATGAGAGATAGAATCTTAGAGAACTCCATCTCTAATTCCCCAGTAGGATGGAGAGCGAGACTCTGAGCTCTGCACAGCTGCTGTCTGGACAGAGGACTGGCTGAATGTGCTTCATTATTTTCAGGGTGGCATGCGAGTGTTCTTTATTTCCCCTACAGCCATTTCTTTTCTAAACCCCTTTTTATCCTTTTAATCACCCTCTTTCTCTCTCAGTCTTATTTTCTGTGTCTCTGTCTCTCCCTCGCACACTTCCTCTCTTTCCAGGTTCAGCATCTGTAACTCTGTAGTCAGAAGCAGTGATAAAGGCACCAGGCTTGGCGTTGACATTTCTATACTCGGGCTTAGGTGGACTAGAGCCATGGCAAAGCCTAAATAATGAATAGCCTGAAAGAGGCAAGCATCTTCCCAGCTGTTCTTGGAACGATGCTGCGTCTCTTTTAAAAAATAAAATTGAATTCAATCCATGGAAGCAAAAATGAAGGGTTTCTTCACGATTCTGTCCTCTCTGGGATGTTTCCCCCCTTTATTGTTTGCAGTTGAATTGGGAGTTCTAGGATTGTATCTCTCCACTTGGCCTTTTTTCTGGCTCCGACTGGTTAAAACAAACAAAACCCCTCCTCTAGCCAGTGATGCTCATTTGGAAAAGGAAATGCTTCTTTAGGGGGTTAGGTTGTCCCCATGACAAGATGGGCTCTTCCCAGCAAGTCACCACCGTTATGTTGCTCTCTCTCGGCTTCTCCATTTGCATGACTTTGTTCAACCGATGAGAGAAGTGGCCTCGTGTGTCCTCCTGTGCCTGGATGTCTGTCTCATATGGAGGGTTTGGAGAAGGGAAATCTCTGTGACACCAGAAGAGAAGTGTCATCTTTAGAATCGGCGTGGTTTATTATACCAGACCTGGCAAGTGGAGACAGCCCAGGGACACTGCTGGGGAGCCTGGTCCTATCAGCAGGTGTAAAGTGTCCCTCAGAGTCAGGCTCAGGGCCATGACAGCTGTGACACTTGCAGGGGTTCTGATGAGCTAATGCACATGTGGACCTTGGTCGTGAGGCAGTCGCTCATCGTGATGCCCACCTCACGACGCTATGCTGTGCATTCCTGTGTCTCTGGCCAGACCAGGCTCATTCACCCGCTCCTCCAACACAAAGTTCCCCAAGCACAGTCTGGGACTCTCTCCTCATTTCTTTACATTTCTCCTGGGGAGAGCCACTCCAAGGGCTCCTGACCTGGAGTGTGCATCAGGATCACCAGAGAAATCTTGGGAAAAAGTACAGAATCCTGAGCCCCACCCAGGAGGTTCTCATCCAGCAGGTGCCTGGGGTAGGGCCTGGGATTCAGAAATTTTGAAGTCTGCCTTTGACTTCGTGCTTCAGCACCACTCAGTCCGAGACTGGGAACCCCTGGAGGCCAGAGGCCGTGTCTGAGTGCGCATCGTCCCCCCGGCCCACATCCCCACAGCAGGCTCACTGCAGGCGGTAAGTAATACACGGAGTTGTGGGCAAGATTCCTCCCTGTGTGTGCTGCTCACTGTTTTTCCGCCTCCTCTCCTTGCAGACATTCCTGTTATTCCGGATCTGGAAGAAGTACAGGAAGAAGACTTTGCTTTGCAGGTGGCCGCCCCTCCCAGGTACATTAAGTATGAAGTTAGCAGGAGGCAGAGAACATGGGAATTAATACATTCCAAATCCCATGTACAGTGGTGCTGCCCCCTGAGTGGAGAGCGGGTATTTCTGGTGATGGGTTCCGTGCCAGGGTTCCCGTGTTACTAGGCATGTTCTTCCCATTTTGGTCCTTCCCAGCTACCTAGGAGGCTCTGAGGATGGTGGCCCCGCAGCTGTCCTGGAACTGGTCCTGCCTGGGGCTCCCCCTCACCTCCTCTCTTTCCTACAGCATCCAGGTAAACCGGGTGATGACCTTCCGTGACCTGGACAATGACCTCATGAAGTACGCAGCCTTCCAGACCTTGGTAAGTGGAACAGCTTCTGCCCAGAGAGGGCAGGCTCTGGGCAGCCTCTCTTCCATGGGTCTCTGAGGCCACCTGGCAACAGTCCCTCTGCTGGAGCCATCATCCTCAGGTATTCCGTTGTCCCTAGACCCAGCCTACCCCAGTGTCTCCGGGGGCCAGGCTCCCACATGCTTCCGTGGCTGCCTCCTGGCATGGGTAGACACTGTGGCCCTATAGCTCTGTCGCTGTCATGCCCTGCCCTCTTGGTGCTGACCTTCTTGCAAAGAATGTCCAGCCTGTAGGATGTTGTGGTGTTCCCTCCTCTCTCAATGGCTGTGCGGTCCACTCACATTTTTACTCTTTTTAAGGCATTTCTGCAGGTCTGGGTTGGGAAGTCCCACCACACCCACCCTGACCCACTTTGCAAGAGATTGTTGTCTGGAGGCCCCCCAGGGGTGCACAAGCTGGTTGGTTGGTTTGCATTCACAGGATGGAGAGATCGACCTGAAGTTACTCACCAAAGTCCTTGCACCAGAGCATGAGGTCCGAGAGGTAAGTAGCCACGGGAGCTCCTCCTCCGGGCTGCGTCATTCCTGTGGCCAGCTGGCTCCCCAGCATGAGCTCTGCCTTCCTAGGGCCGGTGGGGCGGTGGGGGGCCGGGTGCGGGGGAGGTTGGCTCTGACGGAGGGAAAAGGCCTTCCTTCCTCTGACCCAGTGATACCTCTCCCGGCAGGATGACGTCAGCTGGGACTGGGACCGCCTGTACACTGAGGTGTCCTCCGAGCTCCTCACCGAGTGGGACCTGCTGCAGGAGGAGCCCATGGGACAGCCCGCGCACCCCTGAGCCCTGGGGGGTCAACAGCCTGCTCTCCCCGCACAGAGTAATTTCTGCTTTGGACTTGAAAAAAATGCCATAAGCCTAAACCTAAAGAAGCTTGCCAACAGCTTCGAATTTTTTAATGGAATATTTTGTAATAAAAGTACTTATTTTCAGTAGACCACATTGGAGCATTGGTTGTAATAAATTACTTTATTCTGTGGTCATCTCTTTTTCCATTTCTTTCCAGCAGCCTCTTGGAAAGATTCATCAAGAGTGAAGGAGGGCAGCTTTTAAACAGTCTGACAGGGACGCCCCCCGCTGTTGAAGAGTGTGAGGGAAAGCTAGACTCAGGGGGAGAGGAACGGCGCTCCTCCTGGACGTTGTTCGGTTCACAGAAGGCCACGGCATTTCCCTGGAGCATCCGTCTACTTGTAAGCACCTGGAGGCAGGGGTCCGGGAGGTTGTAAGCTGCTACCTGCTGGGGCCCGGGGAGAGCCTGGTACCCGCTCTCGCTCCGCACGTTTGGTTACGTCAGCCAGGTTGCATTGTCTCCTTCATGCTGGCAGGCGGCTTAGCTGAGGAGACAGCAAGAGGTGGGTGTGATAAGGTGACCCGTTCCTCACGGAGGGGTTTGGGGCTTTTCTGACAGCACCCCCTTTCTCCTTTCTTCTCACAGCCCATGCCTGGGGCTCCCAAGACGTGCCCTTCCCTTCCACGCCAGGTTCCCAAAGCCTCGCTGCTGGTTCTCATTAGCAGGGGCCAGCTTGGCAGCCCCGAGCATTCCACAGAAGCACTCTCTCAGGGAGCCTGGGACTCCCTCTGACCTTTCAGAGACATAGCTGCTTGTTTCCATTGCTCCCCCAAGCCTCATGGCTGCCTGTTTCCAAACTGTGCCATTATCTGGAGCAGAGCCCAACCTTCTTTCTAAACAGAGACATCTTTTGTTTTTGTTTTTCTCGCTTTCTCCCCCAAGACCTCTCATCTGAGGACAGGGACGTCTCCCTGCCCGCCTCTCCTAGATGCCACTTTGGATCCGGCCCATGCAGGCTAGCAGCCGCTGACTAAGCCCCACTCTGTGGCCATGGGGAGAGCTGAGTGCTGTTCTTATCCTGCCTGGAAAGCACTTCATTAAAATTCAGTAAAACAAAGAGGCCCAACACTTCAAAAACCCACTGGGGGGTTATTTTTGTATGACTACTAGTGCCCTTCCCCAGTGAGCCAGGAGGGCTCTAGAGCCAGCAAAGAGACTGCACGGCTGTTAATTATAAACTCAGGGATTTGGTGGCTCTGGGGCCCCTTTTCCTTCTTTTCTAGAGTCACACTCTTAGCCCTGACAGCCCCCCTTTGGAATAATTCCCATGGTCACTGAGAAGTTTCCGCCCACTCTGGTTTTTCTTGAGCACCATTCTGAAACCCAAAGGAGAAAGGTATTTCTAGTACCTTAACTACTAGTCAGTTCAGCTGCCTCAGGACTCTGATACACTTGGGAGGTCTGCGGCCAGCCTGAGCAGGTGGCTAGGGGTTGACTTCCTTCCTCCCTTTATTTTATGACAGCGACAGCAACAAGGTCTCCCATGTACTGAGCCCTCACCACATGCCAGGCACTGGGCTCAGCACATAAGCATGATCCTCACAGCCACCCAGCAAAACACAGATGTTATTATCCCATTTTATAGATAAGGAAACTGAGGCTCAGAGATACAAAGAGACGGCCCAAGATTATCCAGCTACTTAGTGGCAGGGCTGGAACTCAAAACCAAGGTATCTGACGCCACCGTACTTTTAACATTTGTGTTAAATCTGCTGCTGCCTCCAGCTGGGGCAAGTAGTCTAGTGTATAGCAGGCAGAATTAGCAGCGTGCGGGGAGAAGCTGCCTGCCACCGCCCTCCTCCTCCTAGACCAGGCATCCCTTCTTTGCATGGAGTGACCACAGAGCAGAGGGTGTGAAGCCTCTCAAGGTGGCTGAGCTCCAAAGTCCTGGCCCCAGGGAGGTAAGGATAAAGCCCGCAGACCTAGGTGAGGAGCAGCTCAAAGTCCTATGAGCTAAGCCTGGTGAAGAGTCAGCTTCAGGCTGTGGATGGCCAAGTGTCCGCTCACCTGTCTGGGCTTCATCCTTTCCACAGCCTTCGAGTGCCACATCTCGAGAGCCCCTGGGCATTGACGGGGTGTCCCAGAACCTATGTCCACCTAGTTCTTGACTAGGTGAGCTGACCCCTGAGCTACCTTCCTTATGTTCCATCCGGTGGTGTCACCCAACCCAGACTTCAGAGGGCCGCCCCAGAAGAGGGCTCAGGAGGTATGACAGAACGGACAAGCAGCTACAGGTACCCACGCTGTGGTTTTTGGTAGGCGTGTCAGGGAAGCACGGGACAGGTCTCAGTGCTGCCGCCTCCTTTGTGTGTCGTGTTGACCGGCTCCTCACCCGTTTCTCCTAGGCTGGCTCATGTCCCTCTGAGCGGGCCTTAGATGTCCCAGCTGGTCTCTGACACAATCTCCTGTGGCGTCTTTGGCATCGGGTAGTAGCTGTAGAGATGCCGCTCAGAGGCTGGGCCGTGGTGGGGAAGTGTGCTCCTTCGTGAGATACGGATTACTGCTCAGTACGAGCCAGGCTCTGTTCTAGGCACTGCAGAGAGAGCTCTAGACAAGCCGAACTCCCTTCCCTCGTAGCACTTACATCGAGCAGGGTGGCGGGGAGGGAGAGACAGACAAAGAAGTCAAATACATAGCGTGTTAGATGGTAATGGGTGCCCTGGAGAAAAACAGAGCTGGAACAGGGAAGGGCGTGCTGGGATCAGGGGTTGCAATTTTTAAACGGGGTAGTTAGGGGAGGCCTCACTGAGAAGGTGACATTTGAGCAAAGACTTGGAGAAGGTGGGGAGGGGAGGGAGCAGGACTGGTAACTAGGGAACAGCGTTCCAGGGAGAGAGGACAGTACTTGCAAAGCCCGCAGGAGGACAGGCACCTGGCTTGTCTGAGGAGATCAGCGTGCCTGGGGTGGAAGGGGCATGGGGAGAGAAGATGCTCTGTCTTGCTGCACCCACGTGGGGCCCACGTCCTCCAGTGACACGAGCACTCCCAGGCCTCCTTGGCCTTGCTGGACAGCCTTTGGAAAACTCAAGCTGCCGCCCAGCCTCTTCCGGCCTCAGCCTGGAAGAAGCGGAACAGCGGATGGTACACGGAGGGAGAGGAGAACAATGAGCTCTGTCTGCCACGAACTGGAGGTCAGGAGGCTGCTGCCAGCTCCCCGCCAGGCCAGGGTGTGCCACTGCGTGCGGCAGATGGGGCAGCATTGTCAGGTCCCTGTGTGGAACGCTCCCTGCAATCTCGCAGCTCTGATGGAAAGCTCAAGCAAGAAATTTATCTGGGCAGGCCTTGTAGCTGAACCTGAGGTCATCTCTATCCCTGGTTGTTGGCTCATCTTTGCTGAACCCCAGGACACCCCAGACAGGCTTTAGGAGCTATGCGCTCCAGACGGAAACTGATGTTGGCACCTGCTCAGTGTTGCTTGACCAAAATGTGCGGCTTACGTAAACCAGGGCCTTTCTTGCTTAGTGGTTGGGGGCAGGGGAGGGGGTGCTCCTGGGAGCTCTGGTGCTGGAGACCTGAATGAAAGGTAGTATTTGCTATAGTGAGATAAGGAAGCTTAGCATCCTTGCTCAGCTTTGCCCAAGCAGTGCTAGGCTTTTGTCGCAGGGGCCAAAGAGTCACTGGGGAATGGATAGCTGGGTGGGAGGGGGGGTGGCACGGGGGATGGGGATAGGGTGCAAGGGGCAAAGAACACAGCTTCCAGAATCAGGCAGGCCTGGGTTCCGGTCCCAGCTCTCCCACTTGGTAGCTGTGGGTCCTTGAGTGAGCTGCTTTCCCTTTCTGATCCTTTTTCTCGTCTGTAAAATGGTGATGATATTAGTATTGTCCTCTTAGGACAGAAGAAGCTGACTACTGCTAGATTTTAGAACTGGATGGGCTCCAAAAGTGAACATAGGGAAAGTCCCACCAGATATGTTACTGCAACAACAGCTGCACTCTGCTAGGGGCTATCACCCTCATTTCCTCTCATGCGTTATTTCTTAGCTATGGATAGAAGAATGGATCGGCACCAGGGTTTTTTGTTTTTATAGCAGCTTTATTAAGGTACAATATGCATGCCTTAGTAAATTTACCAAGTTGTACAACCGTCACCATAATCCTGTTTCAGAACACTGTCATCACCCGACAACGTTCCCTTTTGTCTGTTTATAGTTAATCTCTGCTCCCACTCCCAGCCCTCCGCAACCACCGATCCATCTTCTGACCCTATAAATTTGTTGTTTCTGGAAACTGCATAGAAAGGGACTCATATAATATGTGGTCTTTTGAGTGTGGCTGCTTTCACTTGCCATGTTTTCACAGTCCATCCATGCCATAGCATGGGTCAGTGCTTTGTTCTTTTGATTGTTGATCAGATACCCCACTGGACAGACCCGCACCACGCTGTTGCACCATGCATCCGTTGACGGACACTTGAGTTGTTTCCGTTGTGGGGCTCTTATGAATAACACCCCTGTGGACAGTCCTGTACATGTGTTTGTGTGGACATACATTTTTGTTTCTCTTGGGTAGATTCCTAGGAGTGAAATCACGGGGTCATATGGTGTGTTTACATTTAACTTTTTTTTTTTCAGTTTCTTTAAAGAAAAACACTTTATGTAAAACTTCAAAAAAAGGTTAAAGAGCAGACAGAATAGTTGGGAAAATTATTTTTGTTGACCTATGAAGAAACTGCCAAACTTTTTCAGGGCATCAGTTTTGTTTGTCAGTGCTTTAGGGTATCGGGATTAATTAAGTAGTTGATTTGTTTGTTTGTTTGTTTCCTTTCCTTAAGTTTTTCAAAGGTGGCAGTGAAGTTTATAGTTGGCCCAATCTCCTGATTCCTCCCTCCCTTCCTCCTTCCTGTCACTGAGCTTACCTCTGTTTTGAGAATGCAAAGCTCTTCTGTCTGTCCCCCACTCTTCCGCCCCAGCCTGGAAGCTTCTTCAGGGTAAGAAGGGGTGTTGTTTGAGTTTCTGTAAAGCCCTGCCAGGAATTCAACGTCAAATAAGACATGGTCCTGACCCCAAGGGGCTCACAAACTAGTAGAGAAACAGACAGGTCTCATCTATGTTTTCAAAGCACTGGTTTTGAAAACCTCACAGGCTTTC